GAATGAAGAAAGCCAAAGACACAAGGGAAAGATCAGTCCAAAGGACTACCAGCCAACTACCACAATTACCAGCCACCACCAGACTGAGCCCAGCACAAACAGATGGTGCCCGGCTACCACCACCAACTGTTCTGACAGGGATCACAACAGAGGGTCCCAGACAGAGCTGGAGGAAAATGTAGAACAAAATTTTAACTCACAAAAAAAGACCAGACTTACTGGTCTGACAGAGACTGGAGAAACTCCGAGTGTAGAGTCCCCAACACCCTTTTAACTCAGTGCTGAAGTCACTCCTGAAGTTCACCCTCAGCCAAAGATTAGAGAGGCCCATAAAACAAAATGAGACTAAACTGGCACACCAGCCCAGAGGCAAGGATGAGAAGGCAGGAGGGGACAGGAAAGCTGGTAATGGGGAATCCAAGGGCAAGAAGAGGAGTGTTGACAACCAAAGTCACAAAACAATGTGTGTATTAATTGTTTAATGAGAAAATAATTTGCTCTGTAAACCTTCATCTAAAGCACAATAAAATAAGAAATAATTCAAATGTCTATCAACTGATAAACACAAAAATAAAATTTGATATATCCACACAATGGACAATTACTTGGTAATAAAAGGAATGAAGTACTGATACGGCTACATCATGTATGACCCTGGAAAACATCATACTAGCTGAAAAAAGCCAGACACAAAAGAGCATATGGTGTATAATTCCATGTATATATAATGTACAGAACAGACAGATCTACAGAGATGGTAAGTACGTTAGTGGTTGCCTGGGGCTGGGGGAAAGGACCCTGGTGGGAAATGGGGAGTAACTGTTAATGCGTACTAGATTTCTTTCTGAGATGACAAAAATGTTCTAAAAATTGTGGTGATTACACAACTCTACGAATATACTACAAACCACTGAATTGTACATTAAATGAGTGATTTTATGATAGATGAATTATATCTCAATAAACCTTTTAAAAGAAAAAGAAGAAAAGTTTAAGGAGAGAACTGTTAAAATATAAAATCACTGGCTTTAAGACAAAAGTTTCTTTCTAAAAAGAAAATAGTGAGTTCTCTTGGTATTTGAGTAGGTCTAACGTGTGGACAAGAATGAAACTAGAGGAAGCATTAGGAGAAAATACTAAGAATTACCACATCAGACCATGTCTCTCTACAAATCCTTCTGTTGAAAACAAATCTGGCATCTGTTCTCATTCTTCCTTTCAAAAGTCTCTCTAAGGTTACAAATTATCTTCTTCTGGTCTAGTTTAACAGTCTTTTCATCATTACCATTGTTTCTGAACTTCCAGATTACATTCAATACTGTCAATAACCCTACCTTCTAGAAAATCTTCCTATTCTTGGCTTCTGTGGCACTGGTGTACTTCCTAGTTCTTCTTAGATTTTTTTTTTTTTTTTTAACCTAATAGTTTATAATGTCACCCAAGATTCCAAATCTCACACTATACTAGTTCCCTCCCAATACTCATCTACTGACATGTTTAATTACCATCTATTAGCCCTGGTCAGTGCACAATCTACATTTTGTCTCTGACTATTCACCCTATAGTGATGGACCACAGATGCTTCAATCCTACTCTAGCCAATTCTTGATTACCTTCACTAAGGCTGGAAAGCAGTGACGCGACTCAACCAAAATAAATAATCCCTATGCCATTTCTTGAGCCCTGTAGGTGCAGTGGTTAAGTGTTTGGCTGCTAACCAAAAGACTGGCAGTTTGAATCCACCAGTCACTCCTTGGAAATCCTATAGGGCAGTTCTACTCCATCCTATAGGGTCGCTACAAATCAGAATCAACTCAACAGCAATGGGTTTGGTTTTCTGGGGTTTTTTTGGTGGGGGGAGGGAAACCCTGTTGGCGTAGTGGTTAAGAATTACGGCTGCTAACCAAAAAGGTTGGCAGTTCAAATCCACCAGGTGCTCCTTGGAAACCCTATGGGGCAGTTGTACTCTGTCCTATAGGGTCACTATGAGTTGGAATCGACTCAACAGCAACGGGTTTGGTTTGGTTTTTTGGGGGGGAGGGGATGCCATTTCTCTGTGGCTTTAGAATGTAGTATACATTTTTTCTTCTCCACAGATCTCTTTTCCTAATTGTTTTGTTAGATTAATACTAAGCTAATCTGCATTTCCAAAGCCAAACCAGCATAGAGAGGCAGCTATCAGGAGTACAGTGAGTGGCAGGGGAAGACTGGCCTGGTATTGAAAAATTGGTTGTGCACAATCTAGTGTTGACCATAATCCACCTAAGCTCATTTTCCTTCACAGTGATACTGTCCTAATTTCCTCACTATTACCAATGACTCAGCCATCCTCCCAGGATTCTAGGCTTTAATTTTTTTAATGTTCTATTTGCTCTCTTTCCTTTGCCCCACACTCAACCACCACTCACTTCAAATTAATTTTTACTCAGGAACACTTTTCTTTATATATTGTATACTCCCTATCTTAGGACAATATAAGATAACGGTTTAAATGCATAGGGTCAGAGGCCAGATAGTCTGGGTTCAAATCCTGACTCTGCTGCTTCCTCTTTGTGGGACTTTGGGCAAGTTACTTAACCTCTCTTTAACTCAGTTTCTTCATAAGAATGGCAATACCTTATTATCAAGTTTTAAAGAGCTTAAAACAACATCTGTCACACAGTAAACATGCAATAAATGCTATTCTTTTATTCCCACAATTACTATCAGATTACAATATCAATTACTATGTCAGATCCTCATCATCTTATTACTAAAATTCTCCAAGAGCATTCTAGTTGGTCTCCCCACTCCCAGCACACTCAGCTGATAACAAAAACCTTCCTAAGGAACACGAGGCATCATCTTACTCCCTTTCTCTAGGTAATCTATCAGACTAAATCTTCTGTCCTTGAAAAGTTCTCCACCAATGCCACCTCAACAATCCTAAACTTACTAACAATTGCACCAGATAAAAGGAAAAAATACAATGTCAAAAATATACTCAAAGAGACTACACAATGCAAGAAACAAATCAAGAAAAAGTGAGAACACTGGCCATTTTGGAATCTAAAAACTGACCTCAAAACAGTGAAATTTCTCAATTTCAACCAAACTAATGAACCAAAAAGAGCCAAAATAAACATGTCCTGGTGTCGTTCAAAGGAGCCCTGATTAAGAGCTCGGCTGCTAACCAAAAGGCCAGCAGTTCAAACACCAGCCACTCTGCAGGAGAAAGATGTGGCAGTCTGCTTCCATAAAGATTACAGCCTTGGAAACCCTATGGAGCAGTTCTACTCTATCCTATAGGGTCGCTATGAATTGGAATCCACTGGATGGCAACGGTTTTTCTGGTACTATCCAAAACATATCTAACAAAGACAAGAGATATTCCTCGTATCTTCATCAGCACAAAACCAAGAACAAGATTCATCTCAACTCGAAGACACATAAAAACCAGTAAGAAAAAAATATATATCCTCAGGTTTATCTAAGAAACTAAAAAAATCAATCACATGTATATATGCCACCCAAACAGAAAAACGGAGAGGAATTACTGCTTTTCCGTAAATATTTGCTAAGGTCTAGGAGGAATAAAGGCTTCTCTCACTGCAACTGTGGCATGTTCCCTGTTAAGGAAGCAATCTGTGGTCACAAAAAACCAAAATACAGGAAGATGAAATCCTTAACCTGAAGAAGACAGACATTAAGGAAAGAAACAAACTACTCAACGCACATGTTTCAAAACCAGTTACAAAAAACAGAGTGCAATGATATTTAATAGAACGAGCAAGAAAGTGAAATAAAAGTGCTTCCATGAAATAACTAAGTCAAACTATCTAGTGCTGCCTTGCAAGAGCTATCCATATAACACTCCTATGACATGCGTGCTTGTTTCCCCGCAAAACAAAATGAAAGAAAAAATAAAGACAAGTAAATATCAGGAAAAGACAAAAAAGATGCCAACCAATCTCAAACCCCCAGGCTAGCCCAACTTAGCTCACTGAACAATTCCAACAGAAGTGGACTGCACAATACAAGACAGAAAAACCTTCACCAATCACACATAAAATCAGAACGGAAAAATGAAAACTATATACCTCCATGCACCAGTAGCAAGCGCCAATTCTCTCTCTAGGATTAAACAGCAAAAAAAAGAACAAGACCAGCAAAAGGGAGAAGAAAAAATGTCAATGAAACCAAGCCCTGTTATGTCCCCTACTGGTCTCAATTTCAAAGAGTACAACTCTTACTTCTTCCATCTAACCAACAGTTGGCCTCGGCACAACAAACTGCCCGTAACACCTTCCAGGCTACCCGGAGGAAATCACAGAGGAAAACCCGCCTAGTTTAACCATCCTCCTCACCAGCTGCAAAAATTGGGGGGGGGGGGCCTACCACGTGGGCAGGATGCAATACACACAGGACAGCAACACGTCCTCATGCAACGGCTGCCTTTGCCCTACAGCCCGCAAAGGACAAGGCGACAGGATGGGCGGGAACGCAGGCCCCTTGCACGGGCCCCCTCACCCCGAAGAGAACCTCCGAGGCGCGAGGCACAGTCCGCCTCGCCGGCCGAAAAGGGCCTCCAGGCTTGAAGGGAAGAAGCCGCATCCTGCCCGGGTCAGAGACTAGCCCAGGCCAGAGGAGCAGGTCAGGGAGCGAAGGAGACGGTCGCTGTCCTCCGACTCGGCGCCCCCGGGAACCACGTCTGTTTTCCCGGGGCCCCGTCTGGGGGAGGGGCGGTAGGCGCGGAGTCGCTGCTTCCCGGCTGAGAGGCAGCAGCAGCTGAGAAGCGCCGGGGGGAGGGAGAGACCCAGCCCTCGCCGCCCGCCAGGCCCAGGCCCAGGCCCGGGCGCGGGCCCCCTGCCCCGCCCGCCTCCAGCCCCGCAGCACGGCCAGGGCTGAGAAGGGAGAGGGCGTCTCGAAGAGGGCAGCCCCTTCCTCCGTCCCGGGAGATGCCCCAGCCCCGCCTCCTCGCCCGCCGTCCCGGCCCGGCCGCCCCGGCGACGGGCGCTCACCTCAGGCTGCGCAGGCCGGGCCGGCCCGGCCGAGCACCCGGCCGCTGCGTGCGTCTCCGCCCCCCCGGGAAAAGCCCCAACGGTGCCTGGTGTGAGCTGCCGAGGGCCGGAGCAGCGCCGAGAGCGGCAGCAGCAGCGGGAGCAGCCAACATCCGGGGCCGCGCACCCGGAACTACTTCCCGACCCGTTCCCCCTCCCGCCCCCGCCTACCGCGACGTCTCTGCGCCACTAGTCCGGCGTCGATGGCGTCACGGGCACCTCCGCGTCCAACTTCGTGTGGACGCCCGCGGATTCCTCCGCTGGGACAAGTAGTGCCCTGGGATTCCCGGCGCTGCGCCTCGGAGCGGCAGGCAGCACCAACCGGCTTGGCGTCACTACACATCAGAATGGAGTCTGGGGCGTGGGGCCGGAGGAGGCAGCCGCGTAACTGAGGCTAGCAGGGATCTGCGGCCTTTAGACTCTGTCCACGGATCTCAGGGCCTAATGCCTAGGAGGAATGGCGCCTCGTGACCTTGTGTTCCTCCCTTTTTTCCCCTCCTCCTCCCAGCCACCTTACCGTAGCGAGAGCCCTCTTAGGCCTTTTAGGAAACCGGACCCCTTCTTCTGCAACGCGCCCCAACAAAGGCGTCTTGAACTTTCGGGACACCCTTCCCGGCAGAACTTAACGAGTCCCGAGTTCTAGAACCATCTCTGCCAGGGCTTGTCCCGTGCTTAGCCTCAGTTTCCTTGTCCTTAAATCAAAGGAGTTGGAACTTTAAAGGCCCTTCTGATTCACAAGTTCGCTGCCCAGGTTATTGTCCTGCTATCAGATAAGACAGTTTAGAAAGGTGGTTCAGGCGACTTCTGAACTTTGGAATTTAAGTGTACATCAATCTAAACTGACTGTTTTCCTCTAAATTGTTAGCACTGATAATCTGCCCTGTAATTTCACACTTACTTACATTCCGAGGAGGTATCGTTTCTGTTGCTTCATTCTCGTTAGTCATATATTCCTCTATAGCACTAAGAAAGGTTTTGAACACACACTAGAGTGCTCAATATTTGTTAGATGAATACTTGGTTGGATGAGAGGGAAAGGAGATGCCTGAGTATATTGGTCCTGGGAACTTCTGTTTAAATAGCCTCAAAGGGATTAGATAAAGACCTTGAGTAGTAAAAGAGCTGAGTACCCAATTCTTCAGCAAACGTTAAACGTGCCATTTGCCAAGCTTTACTGGGTACTGGGCAGCCAAAGTACTCACATGTGACTTTTCTATATAAGACTCTAGGAAGATTCTTAATATAAAATATTCCTCTACTCATCTAACAAACATTTGCCAACCACTACTGGTTAAGAGCTCGGCTGCTAACCAAAAGGTGGGCAGTTGGAATCCACCAGCTGCTCCTTGGAAACCCTGGTGTTTAGTGCTATAGGAAAAAAATAGACCAGGGTAAGGGCACTTTAACCAGAGGCCTGAAAGAGGTGAGGAAGTGAATCAGGCAGTTAATCTGAGGAAGAGTGTCCCAGAACAGCTAGTGGAAAGGCCCTGAGGCAAAAGCATTCCCGAAAGTTTTAGAAATAGTAGGAAGCCAAGATGGCTAGAGCAGAGTGAGCAAATGGGAGATGAATGGGGAGATAAGGTAAGAGAGTGGGTCCTGTAGACCACTGTGAGAATCTTGGCTGAAACAGGGAGCTTTGAGCAGAGGATTGATATGATCTGATTTATGCTTTCAAAAGATCACTCTGGCTGTTGAGCTGAAAGTAGATGGTAGGAGGACAATGGTGCAAGCAGGAGGCTCCATTATCTAGGTGCAGTATGACAGCTTGTGAGTAGCAGTGAGTAGGTTAAATAAGATACAGCCTTTTACTTTAAGAATTCATAGTCTAATGGGAAACAACAGTAGATAGATAATTACAATGCACTGTGATAAGGAAAACAGTATTCCGCAGAGGAGGCCACCCTTGCCATCCCCCTGAAAGAGGGCAGGAGTTCCCAGAACTCCTAAGTTACCAAGGGAATTGGAAATTCCTGGTTCTTTGCTGGGCCATTGAGTGGATCCTTGAAAATATAGCTAACACTCCTCTTCTTCCCAGCCCTTCAGGTCTCAAAGCCCACCATCATCTGAGTGGGGCTATAGGCAGAAGGTTACTAAAGAACCGTGTGAGTAATAAATTCAAGGAGATGGACAAAGCTGAGATTATCCCCTTTTGTTAGAGGAGGAAACAGAGGCCCATAGTCACCAGGTTTAAACCTAAGACTAGAATCAAGGTCGTCAAAGTCCCAGACCAGGGATCTCTCTGAGCTATTTGAGTGAAGTCAGCCAGATGGTAGGGTAAAAGAGTAGAAAGACTAGTGTTTGGACTTTGCTCTAAGTCTGGAAATTTCGGGCTCCCATTCATCACTACCTCTTACAAACCTTGAGCACCTCTTCATTCCTGACCTGTCTGGAGTTCCAAGATGCTTCCCTAAAATGCCTGTTTCTGTCCAGGCTAGTGGGAGATAAGGCTGGAGAGAGAATAGGGCTTACCAGCTACCAGAATGGGATTGAGAGGCAGGGAAAGGAAACAGCAGCCTTTAGGAAGGAAAGAAGCAACATGAATCCCAGAATGTCAAAGGATGAAGGAAGATTCCAAAAAAAAACAAGCTGTAATGACCATAGCAGCAGGAGGATTCTGGGACACGGTGGGGAGAAAAAACTTAAAGCCCAGATTGGGAAGGCATACCTGGGTTCAAATCTCACGTTCCATAGCTTACTTCCTATGTTCCTACGTCAAGTTCTTTAATTTCTCTTAGTCTCTGTTTCCTTGTCTATAAAATGAAAATAATAGTCATAGCTACTGGCAAAAGAGATCACGCACAGGCTGTCATAAAATAAAGGTCTCTAAAGACAGCTGTTATTATGCACAAGGTCGCGAGTCAGGACAGAAAATAGTCTTCAGAGTTTTAAGAGATGGGAGTGGGCTGGGAGGAGAGTTCTCACACGGAAGGTAGTGTCCAGCTCTGGAGACACGTCCTTAAGAGAAACAGATCTCAATGCTCGAAGCAATAAGATAGAGATTTTATTGTGTTGTTCGCAATCTTTTCCCAGCCTGCAATAGCCTGCAATTCCCTGAAATAACCCTACACAAACCTTGATTCAGTACTGGCAATGCTTCGACAGCAGGGTGTTCAACACTTCACATGATCCACAGTCACTTACACAAATGACACTTTACTTGTTTCTTTTTCTTCTCTTTATTTATTATAAGAGGTAAGCAGATAATGAGAAATTTAAAATGAGTCAAGACTTGCAAGATGGAGAGAGAAAAACATGAGGGAGCTCTTCATATAATTCCCAATCTTAAAGGACGCTTCCATTTTCCCTGGGTATCTTTATATAATACGCTGCATTTCATGCATTAGGTGCAAAATAAAAAGCTGAACATAGGCCATTGGGAAGCTCTCAACACCACTGCCTGCTATGATGATATTTGGGTGTTGGTCACTATGCATACTTACAGTATTCAATAATCATTTATCAAGTATCTACTCAGAGGTCCAAGCTGCACTGAAGGCATTGGCCAAAAACACTCCAGAAATTGACAGAATACCAACTGAGATGTTTCAACAAACAGATGCAGCACTGAAAGTGTTCACTCGTCTATGCCAAGAAATTTGGAAGACAGCTACCTGGTCAACTGACTGGAAGAGATCCATATTTATGCCTATTCCCAAGAAAGATGATCCAACTGAACGTGGAAATTATCAAACAATATCTTTAATATCACACGCAAGTAAAATTTTTCTGAAGATCATTCAAAAGTGGCTGCAGCAGTACAACAACAGGGAACTGCCAGAAATTCAAGTCGGATTCAGAAGAGAAATCAGGGATATCATTGCTGATGTCAGATGGATCCTGGATGAAAGCAGAGAATTCCAGAAAGATGTTTAACCTGTGTTTATTGACTATGCAAAGGCTTTCATTTTGTGGATCATAACAAATTATGGATAACATTGCAAAGAATGGGAATTCCAGAACACTTAATTGTGCTCATGAGGAACCTGTACATAGATCAAAAGGCAGTTGTTGGAACAGAACAAGGGGATACTGCATGGTTTAAAGCCAGGAAAGGTGTGCGTCAGGGTTGGATCCTTTCACCATACTTATTCAGTCTGTATGCTGAACAAATAATCCGAGAAGCTGGACTATATGAAGAAGAATGGGGCATCAAAATTGGAGGAAGATTCATTAACAACCTGTGATATGCAGATGACACAACCTGGCTTGCTGAAAGTGAAAAGGACTTAAAGCACCTGCTGATGAAGATGAAAGACTACAGCCATCAGTATGGGTTACACCTCCACATAAAGAAAATAAAAATCCTCACAACTGGACCAATAAGAAACATCATGATAAATGGAGAAAAGATTGAAGTTGTCAAGGATTTCATTTTACTTGGATCCACAATCAACACCCATGGAAGCAGCAGTCAAGAAATCAAAAGACACATTGCATTGGGCAAATCTGCTGCAAAAGACCTCTTTAAAGTGTTAAAAAGCAAAGATGTCACCTTGAAGACTAAGTGCCTGACCCAAGCCACGGTGTTTTCAGTCACCTCACATGCATGCAAAAGCTTGTCAATGAATAAGGAGGACTGAAGAAGAATTGACACCTTTGAATTGTGGTGTTGGCAAAGAATATTGAATATACCATGGGCTGCCAAAAGAACGAACAAATCTGTCTTCTAAGAAGTACAGTTAGAATGCTCCTTAAAAGCAAAGATGGCAAGACTGTGTCTCACATACTTTGAACATGTTATCAGGAGGGATCAGTCCCTGGAGAAAGATATCATGCTTGGTAAAGTGGATGATCAGCAAAAAAGAGGAAGACCCTCAACGAAATGGATTGACACAGTAGCTGCAACAATGGGCTCAAGCATAACAACGATTGTGAGGATGGTGCAGTACTGGGCAGTGTTTCATTCTGTTGTACATAGGGTTGCTATGAGTTGAGACCAACCTGACAGCACCTAACAGCAACTCTATACCCAGCATTATATTTGACCAGAGAGTCAAAAAGGAATAAACAAAGTCCTTATCTTCAACAGGCTCCTAGACTTCTGAAGAAGCAAACACGTAAAGAAATAATCCCAATGGATTTGGTAGAGGTATGTGCTTGTGCCATGGAAACAGA